GATCAAAATTGGTGTTTGTCAAACTGCTATATAACCAATGAAATTTTTCTGATAAAGTGGTTGGTTCAAATTTTTTGAAATTTTTGTATTTTTGTCAAAGGGTCAAAGTAAACATTTGGTCAAAATTTTATGAAAATTAAACGAGCCAAATTAATATTAGTCAAGGTGTTGGGTACCTTAACTCGTCAAATCGTGTTTTTCTGTACCTGTATCTTCATTTTTATTAAAAGATTTAAAATAATCGTATAACTGATCTATACTAAATTTAATCTCCTGCGCCGAATTATTTTTGTCTAAAAGTTTCAAAATTTCCCAAAACTTTTTCGACTCTTTTCTTGAGATTTTACGAAGACCACATTCGAAATTATGCTGGGAACTTTTGAACCATCTATTTTTGTCCTGCATTTTTTTTAAGTTGTAATCTCTGTCCTGCATTTTTATTTTTCACTCTATTCGGTCCTACCTTTTTTTTTTATTAGTTTATCCTGACTTTTTTTTTACCAAGTTGCTCATCCTGCCTTTTTTTTTTACTGAAAACTCCTGTCCTGCCTTTTTTTCAAATTTCATCCTAGCCCCCCATAAAAATCAAATGGTAGCTCCCTAAAACCCAACGGATTTGTTCGATCCTTGAACAATCTTCTTGTGAACTCTTGCTGTTGTACTCGTTGTCTCAGTTGTACATACAGTAACAACGGCGTTTTATTCGATTATAAGTGAATGTGCAGCTAAGAGTAGTCGGGACCACTCTTACAAAAATATCAAGAGAAGCTATTGCGAATTGTTTTTGGTACACCCCTAATTCGCTAAGTTTGTTTTAAGAAAACTTAATAACTGACCAAAATTTAAGAATGATTTAGTGATACCGGAATTAGTAAGATCGCTTTAAGGTAGACTTAAGAATCGTTCTTAAATCATGCACTTTTTCAAAACATTAAGGGCTGTCACTCATTCTAAGATAGGTCTGAGGTTGGGTCTTGTTACACTTTTAAATCTTAAGACGCTCTTTAGACGTTCATAAGACATAAGAATGATTCTTGTTACCGGCCCCAGGTCTTTAGTGTTACCCTCATCAAAGCACCGATTAATCATTTATTGTGGAGCCACGGATTTTTTTAATTAGTCGTTAACTTTGCTTGTAAATTTCGAGAAAATAATTTCAGAATGGAAATGAAAAAAAATATGTAACGGGACTAGTCTGACTAAAGCCAGCCCCAAATATCCACTTGCGTTTGTAGACGCAAGTGGATGCTGGGGCTAGCTTTAGTCAGACTTTACATTGTAACGGGAGCTGAATTATTTAATTTATTCGTCCTAACCAAGTGCACATTTATTTATGAGCCATTGTTAATTTTCTCCTCATTCCGATGTTGTTGTCCTGTGTAGACTGCGCTTATACCATTACACAAAGCTGGCACTTTATTTTTAAAATGTTTCCGAAACTATATAGGATTTCTTCATTCCATGCCAAAAAACTATTTTCTGTATGAGTTTCAACGTCTGCTTGTATTTTTTTCGCCTAATTCTATCCGTATTCTTTTCCAAATAAATTTCCTTTTTCTATTTTGATAGCAGCGTTTTTTTTTTTTTTTTGCTATCAATTTAAAACGAATGGATTTCATAACGAAATTGCATTAATAGTGGTACAATTCCCCGTATTTTCACACACCATCCTGCGTTTCTATAAATCTAATTTCTATTTCAAAATATCATCGGGATACGGCGTGCGTCATAAATAAGAATTTATTGCCAAAAAACAACCAAGAATAAAGAAACTCAGTCTGTTATGCATAAGAAAATGTATAGTTAAATAGTATAAATGCTTACTTATCAATAGAAACAGAATATTTAATAGTATATTTTTAAAGGTAAAGAATGAGCAGAAGAATTGGCGGAAGGTGACGAACCAATCAATGTCATATAATGTATTGCATCAAATCTCTCGGCACTCTGCATCTAGACAAGTTGCAGTTAAAAATGTTTACCAAAAATAAAAGGATTTATATTATTTGATCATTTCGTGATTAAAGTACAGCGTAGGACCTACATGTATTGTGTGATGTATTTTTGTTTTTCTCATTTTTTTCTTTCATTTGAAATGCATTTATGTAAAGGTTTTGTTTTGTGATTGAATATGATACGTATATATATAGAAAGCGACGCTAAAATGAGGCCGTATTCTTAATATATAATCATATAATATACAAGTATTCACAATTTGAAATAAAAAAACATTTATCTTACAATTATTTTATACTAGACTGAGGCTGATTGTTTGTTCAATTTGTTCTAAGTTATCATAAAGCATGAGGTTTTACGTTTGATGTCGATTTCATGGATGTCGACAAAAGCAGGAACAATAACTCGTGGCGTAACGTCATTTTGGTATCGTGTAACCTTAATCTATGCTAATGCAATTCTATTTATCTAGTAAACATAAAGTACTTGGAAAGAATATTCAGACATTATGTTTTCTTTGTCGACAGAATGATAAAAAACTTGAAAATTCTACCCGGAAAGGTTGTGGAATGTTTCCGTAAATCGTAACAAAAACAGATCATCATTAAATTTTCTGGTCAATAAAATTGAATTAAATGCTCCGCTGGGCGCAGCTTGATACGACCGCAGAGGTCGAACCCTGAACAGCTGGGGCAAGTATGGACACAACATTCAAGCTTGATACAGCTCTAAATTTGGATTGTGATTAAATATTTGACACAGCATAGGTTTCTGACACAGAATGAATGTGGTCTAAGAACTTAAAAATTTTTAATTTACCTATTATGGTCCAATATTCAAAATCTTAATACATACACGGTTAGATTTAGCATATCAAAGAACCCCAAGAATTAAATTTTTGTTAAAATCAAACTAAGTTTAATATTGGACCCTTTGGACCTTAATGTAGACCAATTTGAAAACGGGACAAAAAATTAAGAATCTAAATACACGGTTAAATTCAGCATATCAAAGAACCCCAATATTTCAAATTTTGTTGAAATCAAACCATATCATTATTATTTGCTTTTATATATAAATAAAAAATAACCAACTTAAAATGGAAAATTTTAAAGAAAAAAAAATCCCCCCCCAATTTTTAGAACCCCCTAATGATTCATCACCCCCAAAACTCAATCCCAGCCTTCAATTTGTGGTATGGTACCTTGCAGTACAATTTCAGAGAGATCCATACACTTGAACACAAGTTATTGTTTGGAAACTGTAAAAATGCTTGTTTTTTGGCCCCTTTTTGGCCCCAAATTCCTAAATGTTTAAAGCAATTATCCCCAAACTCAAACCCAGCTTTCCCTTTGTGATATGGAACCTTGTAGTACAATTTCATAAAGATCCATACACTTACACACAAGTTATTGTCCTGAAACTATAAAAAGGCTTGTTTTTTGCCCCTTTTTGGCCCCTAATTCCTAATGTTTTGAGGCAATTACCCCCAAAATCAATCCCAGTCTTCCCTTTATGATATGGTACCTTGCAGTACAATTTCAGAGAGATCCATACACTTGAACACAAGTTATTGTCTGGAAACTAGAAAAATGCTTATTTTTAGCCCCTTTTTGGCCCCTTATTCCTAAACGTTTTTGGTAATTACCCCCAAACTCAATTCCAGCTTTCCCTTTGTGATATGGAACCTTGCAGTACAATTTCATAAAGATCCATACACTTACACACAAGTTATTGTCATGAAACTAGAAAAAGGCTTGTTTTTTTGCCCCTTTTTTTGCCCCTAATTCCTAAAATTTTGAGGCAATTACCCCCAAAATCAATCCCAGCATTTCCTTTGTGGTATGGAACCTTGTGGTACAATGTCAGAGAGATCCATACACTTATACACAAGTAATTGTCTGGAAGTTACAAAAATGATTATTTTGGCCCCTTTTTGGCCCCTAATTCCTTAACTGTTGGTACCATAACCCCCAAAATCAATCCCAACCTTCCTTTTATGGTATTGAACCTTTTGGTAAAATTTCATAGAGATCCATTTACTTAAACTAAAGTTATTGTGCGAAAACCAATGTGTCTTTGACGACGACGAGGCTAGACGACGACAATGCCAACGTCATACCAATTTACGACAATTTTTGCGGTCGTATAAAAATGTGTCTTCCAATTTCTTTTCGAAACGTCTATTCAAGGTTGAGATATGTCCAACATAATTTGGAAGCCAAAATTTGCCAACAGAAGTGAAAATCCTATATTGCTTTTCGGCCTTTTTTCCCCGTATCGCACTGGGCCAAATAGCAATATTTACTCATGAATTATGTCAACCCGGCAATGTCAACAGTATAACACATGCTGATTTATCCGTATTAGGACAGATTTGCTCATATATAATAAATGTTAATATTACACGAGGAACGAAGTTGCATACATATAAATATTCAATAAGGTACGAAATGGTTAGGATACGAAATGACTTTAATCCATTACATCATGACAAGAAAACAACGCCACCTATGTCGCAATAACAGTCCGTTAGCTATTTTGCTTTGCTTAAGTACCAGACGAAGTTAGTTCTCCATTTCATGAAGAAAATTCGTTTATAATTATGTTCAATAAACAATTACCGATTTTATAATCATACACGATTTCTGTGATTGATTTTAATACTAATGAGTGAAGGATATCCCCGCTTCTACGAAGTGTGGAATTCCCACCATGACATCACTAGGTTGGATATACTTGGAATATTTCGTAATACTGATTTTTCCGGATTGTAAATGAAACGTAAATAATGAAAGGGAGAGATAGAGATACGATAACTTCATGAGAATCATAAGGGAAATGTGTAACACAGTGTTTTAAGTCAATCTGTTCATTTGTTTATCTCCTTCTCATCAAATCAGTATGAAATTTTAAGGTGTTTCAAACTATAAAAAAATCTGGTTTAAAATGCTTGGCATGAGAGGCTTGGAAAGTAGAACTTCTGGCCAATCCTATAGGGAATTGACGGCTTGAATCAATATACCACAATATAAAACAAAATTTATTAAAAAGACTATAATGTAAAAAAGACATTAAAATATAATATATACAAAGGACTATCTAATAAACAAATAAAAACACCATACCATGGCTTCTATAGTATTGCAACATGAATTACACTCCTTAAACTTAAAATTGTGGAAAAAAGTTTTTGGACAAATTAAATTAAGTCTATTAATCACAATTTTATTATTCCTATAAACAAAGCAAAACAGGTTCATTTGCTGTTGTTACTAAACAATTCCATGTTTGTCAAAGTAAAAAAATCAACTTTAAGCTCCAGAAACCTACTTTACAACATATTATTTTCGGTACAAAAAAAATGCTTAGACTCACAAGCTTGATAAAAAAAGTCCCTACTTTTTTATTTACAGCTCTTTTACCATCATGAATGAACTGAGAAAATAATATGTTCAAAAATATAACAACACAGGCAATTGAGAGAGAAATTGGGAATCTTATGATTGGTGTTAGGCTGTGTTAAAAGGATGAGGGGTAGTGTATCAAACATGCCATGATAATCTTTACAATACCATAAACTGAACAATATGGACAATATAAAACAATATGTCATATTCACAAATACTGATGTTTGACCTTTTCTTTAGTCATTCATTACATAAAATCTAAAAAGCTCATCTATTTAAAGGTACTTTAAGAAATGTACCTAAATAGTGAGGTATCTAAAAGTAGAATGTTTAATGATGGTGTTGGAAAGATGGTCAAATATAGGGATTTTTAAAAAATGTTCATCTACAAAATTAATGCCCATTTGTTTGAAGGCAGTTGATGATAGATGTGCATGAACAAGGCAGTATAGTATAGTATACATTTGTTCCTTCTGACTAACTTTTATTTGCTCGAAACAGATGTATCTAAAAGAATGTTTATTGATGGCGTAGGAAAGATGGTCAAATAAAGAGATTTTTTTAATGTTCAATCTAAATATTAAGGATGTATTCTTCTGACGTAACAGTCTCGTTGAAATCTAGTTCTGGAATTATTTCCAAAACATGTGAAACAAGTGGAAAATATCAATGAATTTAAAAAATGTTATAATCAAATTAACTCTGTGAAAAATTGCGTATTTACAATGAGTAGTTTTAGAGTAATCAATTTTTCAAATTTTATTACCAACCAAGTCAGTCTTTTTAGCCAAAATTTTGTGAAAATGGGTGAGGGGTACAAGAAATGATTTTACCAGAAACATGTACATCCCATATCACTTTTTTCTTTTCAAATTTCTTAGATCTGTATTTTTTCAATCATTTATAACTAAGAACTTGAAATAATATGCATTTTGTTCTTAAAACAGAGAAAAATCACAAATTTACAAAACTGACAGCATGGTTAATTTGACACAAAAAGCATCAAAATATGATAAAACTTTCTTATAATAACACCTACCTATAGTTTTTTTAAGTTAAATTTATTCAAATTGGTCCACTTCATCTTTATTGAAAGTATGAAAAAAAGTTTAATTGTGGAACTGTGATTTTTTTCACGATAATAGCCCAACAATAGGCAAAAATTAATGAATAAAAATGGGAAAATCATCAAAATTGGGTACTTTCAAAGGGCCGTAGCAAAAAAAAGAAGTGAACCACCATATGATTTTTTCTTCACCAATTATTTTTTTACAGTCATATAAACCCAAAAATCAGGTTAAGAAAAAAAAAGTTTAATTCTAGAAATTTTTGGCTACTCAGAGGTGTACATCCTTAATGCCCATTTGTTTGAAAGTAGATGAGGATAGATGTGCACAAGGCAGTATACATGTGTTACAACTGATAAAGTGTTTTTGCTCGAAAGTGAAGAATCTTAAAAGAGGTTTAAAGATTGTGGAAGGAAGATGGTAAAATATACACTGATATAGGGATTTTTAATGTTGCAATAAAATACATACCATTCATGTACAAATGAGAAACAAATCTTCCAAAACTTACAGATTAAAATATTATCTGCCTGTTTTTCATAGATGTTATATTTTAGAAAAAAAGGTTTAATTAAAAAATTAAATGCATGCATTTTGATAATACTGACCATATACAACTTTGTCACGATTTGTTTTATAAAAGTTTCAATACATTTCATAAACAAAAAGATTTCATCAACATATAATAGTTGGTCATTTTCCATTTTAATATTTGAAATAAGAAATAATATTTGACATTAGAAATAATATTCGACGTACTGACATAAATTAGTTAGAATATTGCTTAAAAAAAGTCATCTAACCATTACATTATCTGTTACAATTAACTAGCTTATACTAAAGTATCATTTCACATGCTAAAACCCAAGTCTTCATAAAAATGAGATTCTTTGTAAAAAATGAAAACAACATTTTATAAAAAATTCATGTGTGCGAAGCACTTTCTTTGATTTACCTTCATCAGTAACACTCAAAGCCAAATATTTGAAAGCCAAGTGTGTATAAGAACCAAAACAGTTGAAGAGCTATATAACCAAATAGAACCTAAAAAATTATAGCCAAATCCATAATAATTAATAAATTTATAAACAGGCAATTTAAGAAAGGTATATTATGTAATAAAAAAATTGCTATTTATGTTAACATCAAGTATTTACAGTTTTTATTATACTGTGTGTCAAAGTTATCTTGAAGTCATTTTGACATGAGAAAGTGCTAATATATATACATGTATATATATTTAGGGAAACAACAAAGCTTAAAAAATCTGTTTAACATGCAATGTATTATATATTTACAGAATCTTTACACAAGCACTTGTCAGCTAGAAATTTTAGATTGTTTCCTGCCAACAAATGGAATAAAAATTTACAGCACAATAAAATTAAAGTACTGTATATTCCCTTTGTTGTTAATACAAAAATATTCCCCAAAATTTTGATTTACTGTCCAATACTTTGGATACACAGCTAACATTGTGGATCAGAAAGATAGAAGCAAAAGTGGAGAAAAATGTTTTTAATCACAAAAATGTTCATTCTTCTGGTGTCTTTATTACATCAATAAATATATAAAAAAATCACAAATAAAATGTTAAGTATGTTCAAAAGTGAAAGTGCTTTTCTGTCATTCAGCCATGGGACTGAGGTACTAAAATCTAAATCAAAACAAAGTCTAAAAACAAAGGAAAACAAGTCAACAAAAAACCAAAATGCAGTATGATAAATAATAAATATAAACACAAACATGTGTATGGTTTTCTAAAATACGTAACAAAAATAACTGGAATGTTAAATCTCAATCTACTGAAAAGTATCATATTCAAATGAACTTAAACATCCGATCATGCTGATGAGATGAAAAAGATATGCATACAATGGTGTCAATTTACAAACAAAAACTGAACACTGCTGCAATTATTTCATGCCATTGTTCCTTATTCTATTTTATTGGTGATGAACTGCAAAAATCACATGTCTAAAGTCTTGCAAAACGACTAAAGCTGAACATGGTAGGTAATCATATGCAAATACTGAGATAGCAATGAATCCTCAAGATTTTTGGAAAACAAACAATATTACAAATACTTTTATTTTCATGTTTATATCCTGGCTTAAGATGTAGTTTAAACTTTGTCATGTAGAAAAATAAAACAAACACTTTTGCATGGCAACATAATGATAGTTTTAACTTCTCTCTTTGACCAATTACAGAAATTAAACATACAAATTTTTAAAAGAAATTCAAGAGAAACGTTGTTTAAACCAAGTTGTAGCATCTAAAACAAATCTTTAATTTCAGATTGAAGAATTTGTTTCATATAAACTGACGAGTGTTTAACATGTTTAATGTCAACTTACAATAGACAAAATGGTCAACAAATTCTTAATATTTGAAAGCATATACATGACAATACAACATAAATCAAACCTTTTAAGCTTGTAACATCGGGGGAAAAGGAGATAATTCATTAAATAGTCACCAAAAATGCTGAATATTTAACATTGTTTAAAGAGACTAGCAATGTTGTGCTTCTCTCATTCTTCAAAGTGTGACCTAGTCTTACCTTGTCCTTAAAACAGTTTGTATATTTAAGGATATTGTGAGTTTATTGGATCATCTTAAGTACTTTAAGGTTTTACTTAAAATCTTTACATTGTTATGTTTTATCATACTTTCAAATATTTTTTTAAAACTTTGAATCATTTGTTTTCATAAGGAGAAGGAACAGAAGTCCATCTCCTTGATAACAAGCCATCAGAAAATGATCTCCTTGACAAGAAGCCAGCAGAAAAATATGCAAAACGTATAGAATTTCACGATGAAGCAGAAACAGATAAGAAAACAAAAAGCATAAGAACTCATGAAATTTAAAGATAAATTCAAAACCTTATAGATGACCCCAGTGGTTGCATTATCTATGTTTTTGTTACATCTACCTGTAAAGATAATGTTGCCTTTTTCTGATTTATTAGGAATTCAGACAATATGCTGGTTATTTGCAATGATGAGAAATTGGAACATGACAGCATTGTAAAGATTAAAAGTGCAATATTTAAATGTTTTATTTCCTACAATTTGTTTAGAAATCTATTTCATTGTCTTGTATTATTTTAAGTTGTTGGTTGTTAAGGATTCACAATCATTATTTCTTATTTACATTACTCATTTCACCACATGTTAAAAGAATGCATAAATTATCATGATTATTAATTATGCAGAGTCAAGAAAATTTAACTTAAAAATAAAATCTGGTCTCTCGTGGATAGTTGTCTCATTTGTAATCATACCACATCTTTTTTTATATTAAAGTAGTATTTTGGGTTGTGAATTATTGTCAAATGTCATGAAGACAAATGATTATATTACTTATGTAATTTATACATTTTATACTTAAAGGTGAGAGGCTAGTCCCTGTATGCGAGTTGTAAAAAAAGTAAGGGTAAAAGTAGTTTGAATGGATGACAATTACAACATGTACAAGATTTGTAACATATGACTTGGTAGCTTAATTGCCATTTATAACTTTTGTAATCTGGTAAACAAAAGTTTCTATGGACAATTAATTCACAGTTTAATATTCTTACAATAAGTTTTGCAAATTGTACTTTTGTCTTTTATAAAACTATGACCAGCAAATTCAATAAAGGAACAATAGCTTGATTAGAAGCTTAGCTGCCCATATCTAACTCAAAATAACCTCCATAGAATTAGTATAGTAAAATTCTTTGTCAAGAATTACATCACCATAAAAGAAAACCAGGGAGACTTGTTAAAACTATTTTTATGTTCAAGTGCCTTTCATTTGCTAATAAAACATCATTTACTCATATATATATATATAAATATATATAAGTGCCTATAAATAGCAACACATAACATACGAATCTATTTGAGTGTGGATTGATCAGTACAAAGATTAATTCAATTACACAAATGAAATTATAAATTGCATAGCAATGTAATTTTAACACACTATTGAGTATGTAAATATTTGAATGTTTAAAATATTTACAACATGATAAAAAATAAATAAACGCAATATTTCGCTAGACAAACTAGCTTCATCAAGCGTGCATCTATCCAGGTGAAATCGGATGTAGATAAGAAACTTTTGCAGATGATGGGATGCTAAGCTCAGTTATCAACCCTAGCAAATGTTTTTTCTGATATTTGGTATATCTTTGTGAAATGAGTAATTGCAGATTCATAAGAAGTCAATTCTCCAGTTACTATTTTAAATAGATTACATTTTTGGCTTAGACAATTAAAAAAAAAGTTTTTAGTTTTGCAATTTTATAGCAGACCTGAGGCTAATTCATAGTAAATAATTTGTTATAAGATGTTTTAAATCCTTTAAGCATCTGTTTGGATCTCTTGCTTTTTAAAGGTATTAATCGATCATGATCAATGGAAAGTAAATAACATATTAATATTAAATCAAGTTTTTTCAGGAGTATTAATGAAAAATACTTCTACCAAAGACAAATATTACTTTCTCATTCATGACATTTTTTTTTCTGCATAGGATTTCAAAATTTGAATTTTTAAATGTTCCCTCAAATGGTTGCATATTACACATTACATAATTTTAAAATGTGAATTTGTCAACCCTGTTTTGGGGCCACTACATCCTTAACATGATAAGATCAGGTGAAGCTTGGTATTGAAATCCCTTCTCTGAATTTTTTGACTTGATAAAAGTTGTTTTCAGCATTTGTATACCCCTTTCAACTGCTGAAACACTGAACGGAACATTAGTCAATATTAAGCATTTTTGGTGACTATTTAATGAATATATTTGAAAGTATGATGAAACATAACAATGTAAAGATTTTAAGTAAAACCTTAAAGTACTAAAGATGATCCAATAAATTCACAATATCCTTAAATATACAAACTGTTTTAAGGACAAGGTAAGACTAGGTCACACTTTGAAGAATGAGTGATGCACAACATTGCTAGTCTCTTTAAACAATGTTAAATAACAGGAATATCAGGCATCATGTCCAACACTTGAGGAAGTTCTTGCTAACCAAGATAATCTTTCTATTGTAGTTAACATAATAAAATCAAAACATGTATTGTAATATAATAGTTCATTAAGTAACTGAACTTTGTTCCGTTTATCACAAAAACTTATAGAGATTACTTATGAAAGTATGAATAAAATATAATATGAAGTACAATAATCAATATTAGAGTGTATAACAGAATGATTAGAGTAGGATTGAATGTTTTCATATCAGAAGGTTTAGTACTTTGAGCTTTCTTTCAGTAACTGTGAGCATTTTTGATAAGGTACAACACTTTTCATTTATTTATGTTTTAGTGATTTATAATGCTGTTATTTTCAAGTGTTTTTACTGATTTTCATTGTATGTTCTTTTATTTATGTTTGTTAGCCAACTAATTGAGGTAAAAGAGGGGACAGTTGAGATCTAAAAAAAACGGATTTACTGCGCCACATATCCATATCCCGTCCCCAGTAAGGATGTCTTAATGTTTTTTTTCTTCAGTTATATAGTTAGTGTGGATGGCAGATCTTTGATTATTTTTGTTGAATTTACAAATGTATTCACAACTTTTATGGTCTCTATTATTAACAGCTGTGCATAAATTGTATGATAAATTGACACTGGTCTATTATTGAACACTGTATGTTGCTCTCTGGATGTCTTTTTGATATTTTTTCATTACGTTTCTGTCTAATGGATGTCTACCCCACATCTCCATTTATTCATAAAAATCATGAAATAAGTCGTCAGGTATTATATTCGCTACTTTTTTCTGTTTTTTTTTATTCCAATACCTTCTTTATCATATTCAAGGCAAATATTTTATCATTTCTAAGGGCTAAAATTCTTATTCATTGTACCTCCAATTTAAATTCTGTTTCCTCAACCGCCTGATCAAGATCATCATCTGTAAACACAAACTTGTTCACCAGCATATACAAGATAAGTAGTACAATTGATAATATTCCGTATAAACGGAATGTCCATCTTATGCCAATCTGTGAGTACAACTGTCCAGTCACCAGACTACCAACCCCTTTACCTAAAATAAGTAAAGTGTTTGTATTTAGTTTACTGAATGATTGAAACTTGTTCAAAATAGAGATTTGTCTAAAAGTATACATGTACATGTAGACTGAGATAACACAACTGGTAATTTTTTTTAAGATTAAAGTTTCCATATATAAAACTCTCAAAAAAAGCATAAAAAATCAGGTACATGTAGGTCTTTTTGATCCTCAATAAATTTTTTGTCAAAAAGCTTTATATTTTAATTCAACAATTTTAAACCTTGCAACACGTATTTATATTTATAGCAGGATACTGAATTACCAGTCAGGGGCGTTACTTAAACAAGTAACTTTTTTTAGTTACTTCTATAGGTAATTTTTTATTTTAAAAAAAAATTTAAATTACTCAATAGAGTTATTTCAAATTTCATTAGAAGCATAGACTAAATGTAGTTTACATGAATTTTTACATAATTTTATATCATAAAATTAAGAATTTATTAGATTTGAGAGGAGTATAGACATAAAAGAGGGACGAAAGATACCAGAGGGACAATCAAACTCATAGATCGAAAACAAACCGACAACGCCATGGCCAAAAAAAAAGACAAACAGACAAATAATAATACAGATGACACAACATAGAAAACCAAAGACTAAGCAACAGGAACCCCACCAAAAACTGGGGGTGATCTCAGATGCTCCGGAAGGGTAAGCAGATCCTGCTCCACATGTGGCATCCGTCGTGTTGCTTATGTTATTACAAATCCGGTAAATAGTCTAATTCGGTAAGTCACATTCGTGAAAAGGGAGGATATTGTAGTTACGACATAAGGAACATATCCGATATCATCTGTGAAACGGTTATTCCATTACGGTCAACCAACTCGTGATGGCGTCCGTAAAATTTACAAAGGGATGACTTCAACTTCACCATTTGGAACTCTTGGTTTAATAGCTTCCTTGTGAGCAGCAATCCTCTATCAAGGAAATCATGATAGGAAACACAAGCCCGGAGATATCGTATCAATTGGGAGATATATACTCCGTATGCAGGCGCTGCTGGAATGTTGCTACATAGAAATGGAAAGTTCGCAATTGGGAAACTGAAATCATCTCTTTTGTCGTAAAGTTTTGTTTTCAACCGACCCTCATTGTCAATTTCTAGATGTAAGTCAAGATATGAGGCAGACTTAACTGTATCTGTAGTATCCTTTATCTCTAGTTCGATGGGATAGATTCGTTCAACATAGTCACCAAATTTTGTATTATTTAGTGAGAGAACATCATCTATATAGCGGAACGAAGAGTTTAAGGATATTGCTAACTTCCTATCTTTCTTCCTAAGAAGTTCCTGTATGAAGTCAGCCTCATAATAATAAAGAAACAAGTCGACAAGAAGAGGGGCACAATTGGTTCCCATTGGAATTCCGACAGTCTGTTGAAAAAAAAGTACTCCAAACGTAACAAATATGTTGTCAATCAAGAAATCAAGCATCTTGATAATGTCAGTTTCAGAGAAATTTTTGTTTGAATCAGAGTGATTCTTTACAAAGTAGGATTTATCCCTCCCCAAGACAAGATACTTGTATCTACGTTCGCCATTCTTTTTAATGAAACAAAGTAATACCAACTCTTTCAATTTTTCTTTTAGTTTGGAATGGGGAATACTTGTGTAAAGTGAAGAAAAGTCAAATGTTTTAATACTATTGCAAGATGAGAGAGTCTTAGATTGTATGAATTCTAAAAGATCTTTGGAATTTTTTAGTATCCACATGTGATTCACGCCACCTCTAGAATAAGCAGTTTCACAATAACTTTGGAGCCCGGCTTATTTTAAAAATAATGACAACAATGTTACTTGAATAAGTTATTTTATACATCTTTGAAAGAATTAGTAATAACTCTTATTTAAGGAACATATGTAATTGTTTTGGGTTACAAATTATAAATAACTTCAATTCTTAATTAATTCACAAGTTTCTATCTATTTATATCTGTCTACCTTCAAGATTTTCAAGGAAAACGATATTTTAATAGTCTCAAGAGACAAATCTTTGACCCAGAAGCATCAATATTAAAGATAAGTGCGTCAGAAGGGCAATTAGTGTTTCAGAAGGATTCGATTTTATATTTCATGGGAAAAATAACCAGATAACTGTAAAAATTTGTTAAAACTAGTAAAATCTGTATAATTGGACACCTATAAAAATAATATTTAGAAAAGTTACTTATATAAGTCATTTTTAAAATATCCTCGTTTTCAACATTACTTGTATAGGTAATTTTAAAAGTTACTTGTTTAAGTAATGCCACTGACTGATTACTGAATGGGAAAATATTCATTAAATTATCACTTCTTTTTGGATGATTTATAATCCAGAAAATACAAAGCTGATTCAGTTAAAAATTAATCTTGGTGTTAAACTTTGAATGCTAGTGATTTTTCAGTAATTTACTCACTCTGAAATAGCTCTAGATGTACAAAAAATGTATATCCTATTAGTGACAATATGAATATGTTTGATGATATATTTGCTGTTCATTAAGCAGCAATCAAATCAATTATATATGATGGTTGTAAATCAGAGAACTTATCTGTGTCATTCAATCACTAGCAATCATCCTCATGATCCTGTTTCACAGTGAATCACGGAAAGGACAAGGCTCACTTTAGCATGTTTAGGCCAAATATGGCCTTGAATTTCAACTTTATCATAAAATTTCAAAATGACCAGAATTTGGTTCTTAAATGGATGTATTTCAAAAGATTGACTTCTTTGTTAAAAGAAATCTCTTCATAAGAGTACATTTTTGGCTTCAAAATCAGTACATTTTGGATGTTTTGTCAAAATACAATGATTTTGTGCATTTTTCGAACCTATAAGCTTGATAAAACCCTTAGCCGCAACCTAGGATCCAAAATGTTCTCTAACCAAGAGTTGCCAATGGTGATATTGAATCCCTAGCCACAACAACTTTCTGGATCTTGGGTGGCGGCCAAAGTAAATTATGTTAAAACTGTTAATATTTGAAAAATTGACCAAAACTGACCAAACAACCCAAATAGTGCATACTTAAAGAGTCAATACTTCGTCATTTTTAATATGATGTGCCAAAATGAAGTTATTTTGCATTAATAGTAATATCATAACTATTTCTATGTGAAATTTGTAGTATTATGGCCTGATTAAAAAAAACATCAAAATCTTAGGGCCAATTTTAACCCTTCGTGAAATTACTCCTTTGGCAAGAGTGTATTTTCACTGAAACGCCTGACCTTGTGAGTACTAGCTAATTTTTGTTTACATTTCAAAGGAAAGTAGTAATTTTTTTTGTTTACATATTCGTAAATATTGCCTTTATTTTTTGTTACTGCTCTCTGATTGGACAGAATCAATTTGCGCCAATTAGTTTTTAAAAGGTATCAATAATTTTTGTGTCAATTGCGCCACTCTCTATTTTTCTTATGGTATTATTTGCGCCAATAAATGAAATCAAATTGTGCCACATTTACCTGTCTATTTTTTACCTATATCATACATGTTACATGTACTATAATTAACCTATCCACCTTAGATTAAACTCAACACTCATCAAAATTAAGAAAACTCACTAATAAATAAATTGTTCAGTTATAGAATAGTTTTTCGCATGTAAAGATGTCTGATATATCCATAATATCGTTCAAGAAAATAGTCTGATAGAGGAAAACCTGTCATCGTTGTCAAAGAAAACAAATTCCGTCAGCCATTTGTTAAGAAAAATGGATTGATTGATTGATTGTTGTTTGCTTTACGCCGCATTAGCACAGAAAGGCTATATCGCGGCGAGAGCTAATTCGAATATCATAACAATTTAAGGTATATTTTTAAAATCAGACAAAAGGTGTTTCAATAAACGAAAATACTAGACTAAAGCAAATTGATTATTTACAAATAAAAATCAACTCTAAGATAACGTGATAAAAATTAAAATCGTTTTAAATATAACAACATTTTTTATATTTTATAATATATTCCAATTTCTTTTAAGAATGAAACAATGTTTGTAAATGGAACATTATTTAATAAATCATACATATTATTGACATTGAAAAGCTTCTTCCGAATATCAGCAAAGTCAATACAATTAATTAAAACATGTTGAATAGTATACTTGCAGTTGCAAGGTACACATTGTGGTTCATCTTCATTTTTTAAAAGATACTCGTGTGTCACTCTAGTATGACCAATTCGGCATCTAGAAATAACACACTGATCTTTTCTGCACATTAAATTATTAAAAGGTTTACCTAAATTAGGTTTAATTTCATGTAATTTGTTACCATCTCTCTTACTCCATTCATTTTTCAAAATATTAAAAACATATTCTCTAATATTAGATTTAAAATCAGTATATGGTATATCACAGCTAGATAAAGTGTCACCCAGGGCATTCTTTGCCTCAAGGTCTACAGCTGTGTTTCCATGGATTCCAACATGACTCGGCACCCATAGAAATATTATTTCTTTAAAAAGAATTTTTAAATTCCTCATTACATATAAAATTTTGAGAATTATTGGTTTTTTAATTTTAGTATTTTGTATAGCTTGTAAGCATGAAAGTGAATCAGAACATATAATAAACTTGGATTTATCTGAAGAAGCAACAAATTTCAAAGCAAAAATTATTGCTTCTGCTTCAGCATTACAGATGGATGCAGCAGAAGGCAAACGGAGAGTTGCAGCTCTGTCCCTGAAGACAGCAGCAGATGCAACTCGGTCACCATCTTTTGATCCATCAATATAAACAGTTGAAAAATCTGAATAATTGGCTTTAATTTCAGCATAGTGTTCCTGAATTAAAAGAGGATTTGTTTCATTTTTATTGTGTTTACGGAGATCAAATATCATTTTTGGTTTGGGAAGTTCCCATGGAGGACATTTGCAAGTTTCAACTTGAGCAACAGATTTTAAATCAAAAGTAGCTAAATGTGGTTTTAAACGTATACCTAACGGAGGAATTTTGTTTTCATGTTATGCAAAAATAT